CATATTTTTTGAAAAGCATGGCCGGCTTCGGGTCTGCATTGTATTACATCATAATATCCCTTTATTTACCTGAATCCGTGAGGTCCGTGCGTCCGCCCGAAGCGTCATAGTCGCAGGCGCCCAGTGTCTAGAGGGATGGATGCCTTGCCTTCCATTTTCGCTTTGATCGCATCATCCCTTTTTTGTTACTTCTGCCCGGTTCGAGGCTGGTGCATTGCATTCTGATTTTCGAAAGACTGGCCACGTTAATCCGGCTGTACCGGCTATACCGAAACCTGGGCCATTCAAATATAGAAGACGAAGAAGAAGAAGAAGAAGAAGCATTCCTCGCAATGCGATTCTGTGATTCGATCATGTCTTTGATTAACATCTTTGCTCCTGACACAAGGCAGCTCTCTTTCTCTCTCTCTCTCTCTCTCTCTCTCTCTCTCTCTCTCTCTCTCTCATTTCTTGATATCTGTGGATCTGACACTATTATTTGTTAACGATATTGACGTCATTAGGATTCTACAATAATCGGCAGCGATTGTCGAACTGAGACCGAGTTGAAAACAGAGCGCATGTTTCCTTATTACGGAATACGGATACCGACATTACGGACATTACACATATATCTAGCTATGCTTCGTCATCATGATTCTTTCTTCCCCCGCTTCATTTCGAATCGTCACGTCTCTCGCCTAGCCCTAGCTTAGCCTATGTCTCGTATTACGCATCTGTTACGCTACCTAACGTTATCATTGTGTTGCGTGGGCGGTAACCTTACGTGAACGATCGACGTGTGTATTGTGTGATTAGGAAAAACACGAGAGATAGAACGTTACGATGATATTCAATGACAACACACTCTCGAGTCCCGTACATACATATAATAGTATTTTTGTAAATGTACTCGTCTATTATTATTATTATTATCCGTATATTATAGAGTTGTAGATGTACGTACTACGTAGTAGATGCGTACATTGGTACAGTTACACAACTCCAATAAAAAAATTGTTTACGTTGAAGATACGTAAGATACGTTCGTTGAATTCTAGATTCGCAAATACGTTTCACTTCCATTTCCTCCTGAGCATTAATACCTGCCAAGATACCTGCTCGAATAAATCGACACAAACAAGGGTCTTCCTGTCGAAGAAAACGTTCAACCTACCTGGTTTTTTCGGGATTCAACGAAGCAGATCTTTCGTCTATATATAGGTCTATATAACTTCAGGTCTATGTAACTTATACTATTACGGATAAATATCATATGTGATTTTAACGATCAATAATTTCATTAATTTCAAACGATTCGTCGGACGTACGTTTTGCGTCATATGTATTTATACACAAATCCTTATTGCGAGTTTGCTCTCATTCTAAACGCGGCTTCTATCGCAGGATAAAAACCATTGTTGCTCAAGATAAAATATATCAAGTCCGGAACAATATAGAGAGTTAACAGTTAATTCTTTAATAATATTCTCCTAATATATCTCTAGGCTGTGTGTTTCAAATTTACTGATTTCAGCACTGAAATCTATAGTTATTGCATTACGTGCACTATAATTTTCAATATTGGCAGTATAATTTTGGGGAACAGCCTAATTCTCACACCCTACAGCGTACATGATCATTCGATAACTTTCATTCTTATCGAAATGAAATACCGGAAATATAATAGGTATCATATCTATATATGTATTACTGCGCCGTACAGCACCGTATCAGGATATGAAACGTTTCATATCCTTCTTTATCTTAATATCCAGTAGATGCGTCTCATATGCGATGCGTACGTATAATGCTTCGTAAGATATTGTCGATCTATCTTGAACACGCATTGGTGAATTGGAATATATTAGGTGTAGTAAAAAGTCATCGCGTATTTTTTAGCTCAAAGTTGTATATATAATATCTTCGTCAATAATGAATGAAATTCAAATTTAAAAAAAGGGTTTTAAAGCTTGAAATCTCTACTTTTAAAAGCTTATCACATTTTTTAAGTTTATATGAGTTTGATAATTTTTACATACCAAAAACTACGAGCTGAAAAAGACGAAAAATTTTCT